GTAGTTTTTTTTACATATTTATTGAAACTATCACCATGTCATGACAACATAAGTGAAAAAAAATTCAATCTCCTCTGCCTGCTGCCAGTGCAAACTGCGGAAATACACAGCTCGGTCAGAAACAACCAATCAGAAGCAGGAGGAGTGTCTTAGTGCTGTCAATTACCGTCATATGCAGAGTGTGTTGTTGTCAGCAGAGCCTGTTGCGAATGCTAAGGCTAGTTAGCATGGTTAAAAGCAGATAAATAGTTTTTCTAAAAAGATAACTTGTTTCTCCGTCATTAGCTCATTGAGCAGCGCGTGTCTGAGATTGATTGACAGCGCCAAGACTGCCATCCTGGCTGAGGAGGTGGAGAAGTTTGATATTTTCACAGATTATCTGTGTCATGTCACATAGTCACAACAGACTGACAGTTTTAGCAAATGTATAAGAACATTTATCTAATAAAAATGACATCCCCCAGCTTTAAAGACATTTTAGAGCAGAACAGGAACGCAACACATCTTTCACCTTTTATTACTGCATGGAAACAGGAGTCTGGTTGGGATCATTAGCCTGAAAACACATCTTCATTGTCTATTTCGACTTTACGGGTATGAAAACCGTCAGCGGTCCTCGCGGTCGTTGCGGCATTAGGCTGAGTGGGCAGCGGCGTTTCAAAGTTTACTAACAAGTTAAGTCCAGCAGGAGCGACTGAAAGTTTCTGCATGAGAAAACACCGGCAGCAAAGACGGCCGTTTCCTTTCCCGTTCTTAACAGCCCGCCGGGGTGATTCTGGTATTTATCCCGCCGCGGTGCCCCGGGTTTCACTTGGTAATCCAGTCATGGTGGCGTGTCAGGATAGGTGCTGTTCACTCGGAGCATGTCAAACAGCGGAACTAGGCTAATGGATTTCCTGTGTGTCCCTCTGGGTTGCTTCACTATTGACAGGAGAGTGACTCAAGTCCTGCCATTCACAACCCTGGGAGCTGATAACGCTGGAAGGCGAAGCAGACGGTGCGACGGCTCACCTGTCACTCCCGCTTCGGTTCCAAGCGGCTACTGTTGATTTAGCTGATTGGAGGCAGGCCCACTTAAACCAAACAGAGCAGTCTGTGTCCCACCGAGAGTGTTACGGAGACAAAACATGCTGGTATAATCGGCCTCTTGTTTACTCTAACATGGCAGACGTGACCTTTGGTGGGAGTTTAAAAAAAAAAAAAAAAAACCAGAGGGACCCAACAGAGACCGAGTCGGGCTTAGGAGAGGAAGCTCCTGCATGTGTTGACATTACTGGCCATCTGCTTTAACTGGTCGACTGGGATGTAAGCTAGAAGCAGGTACTTAAAGCTCTGCAAGCAGCTCTGCAGCTCTAAGCCCGAGTCATGTGGGCTTCGTTAAGAAAAAACGGCAGTTCAGGGGCTTTAGACAGGAGGTGTAAGGAAGACACCCAAATGATACAATATGACTTTTTTGTTTTGAATAAATATCCCTGACAGAGTTTGTGTGTTGTACAACAAATGCTAAAAAGAAAAAGATTTACAGAACCTTTTTTTTTTAGCTGTAAAAATTCCAGATGCGCTCGTTTCTCTTGCTTAATAATTAAGCAGCTCAGAGGATTTTATATTCTGCCTCAGTGTACAGAACACAAACACCAGAAAAGTCCTCACGTTGTGGTCCGACCTAATCTCGGCAAATTCTTCAAGGTTTCAAAAACGCTAAGTCGCCTCAAGTAAGTTACATTTAGAGATTTACATCATTTGCCATTGGCATCAATGTCGTATTAATGTTGGGGTGTGTTTTAACACCCAAACTTTTCCCAGTGAGATGGTTAAACAAAAAACAGCACTTTTATCTGTGCTACCAACCTGAGCACTCAGCCACCGATCGGAGCGATCAGTGAGACCGACGTGAGCGCGTATATCTGTGTGAATGAACAATCATTTGTGGCTCATGCATTTAAATCTCACACACATTCTGTCCTGTGTCTGCACTCAAAATTTAAAGTGTTTGGAAATTAACACCACAGGCAGTTTTTTTCTTTTATTTTATTTTTTGTCCAGTCAGAGTATTCCTTGCAAATACTGCTTTGGAGACAGCTTTTTTATTTCCTGTGTTATGTATGCATGTCGCGTTTTAAGGAAACTGAAAACCATGTTGAATGTGGAAGAACTGATCACAAGCAGCATATCCAAATACTGCACAAAGTGGCAAAAGTTACAAAACAAAAGGATTTCAGATAAATGCAAGAGAACGTCTTGTAGCCTAAGAAAAAAATTAGTTAGGTATAGATAGATTGTGCATTTTAGACCATTTGTCTTTATTTCTGCAGCTACTGAGAATATATCATCATTTTACAGTAGATTTTAAGAACGAGGCCGACTGGTAGCTCATGACTTCACCCCCTCCCGCCCCCTCGTACTTTGAAAGCCACAATTCCTTCCACGGCAACTTGCATCCTGTTGCGAAGCTTGAGACGCCACTGCGAGGTCATAATTATACATTTCAACTTGATTCTCTGAGGCACGCTGATTCCACAACAGCCAATTTTAATGAGTTTTAAAAAAACAATCATTTGTCGCACGTTTGGATTTACACCTACCTTCCTGATTACGTGGGTCAAATTCCTCACTCAGGCTAAAAGTACATACATCCAGCCCCAGCAGTGCTGCTGCTCTCCTCAAGTTGCATTTCAGCCGCTCATCTTTTGTGGCCAACGACACGTTCCTGCATTCCCAGCCGGATATTTGCAGGGAGAGCTTATTTTAATTGACCTGTTTTCTTGCATGGACTCGGCTTTTAAGCGCAGTCCATAAATTTCTAATAGGGTTGAAGCCGAGGTCACTTCTGGACCTTAATGCTGGCTTGGTTTATCTGCTCCAAAATGAGTATTGATCTGGATTTCAGATAATTGTCAAACTGGGTCCAAATTTCAGTTATTTAGTTGTTGATTTGAGGTGGAGATGAAGTTTTTTTTTTTTTTATGCAGAGTGCTCGGCCCTCATCACATCAGTGCCGCCACTGTGTTTGACAATTGGTACAATCTTATGTGGTTTGAAGACCTAAGATAAAACTTTGCACCTTAGGTCCTTTAGGTGGTCTCTATGGGCGGTTCCATGTTTCATTTGCGGTTAGAGGTGTTTACTGTTGAGCTTTTTATTCATGTTCTCAGTTGTGTTTGATTGTTAAACTCACTATCAACGGTGACAATGGGCATAACTGGAATCAAAGTACAGAAACTCAGTTAATCAAAGACTTCTGATGAGGTAAAACATGAGACTCCTGGTGCTAATCTGATTTAAATAGCAAAGCGGAACTCCAAATTAAGTGTGAATTAACTTAAGATTTTTTTTTTTCCACTTGGATTGTAGAATCTTTGACAAGTCGCCGGTGGAAGTCGATAAAAATAGCGAGGCAAAATTTCTTCCTCTGAGTTAACCGGCGCTAACTTTTCGTTCGCACGTAATCGCAGAAGGACACGTCTCAAACAAAATTAGCAAAACAAAGGTCCAAGTTATGTCCGGTTCTGTGTAACACCAAAAGAAAAAAAAAGAAAAAATCTGTTTTCCATGTATGCTTCCATGTATGATTTAAAAAAGAAAAAAGTCATCCTCATCACGGAAGTGTCCTTTTTTTCTTTAAGATGTCTTCAGTGATGTTCAGTAGGATTTCATTTTGTGCGTGTTCTTGTACAGAGGTGTAAAATCACATCGCTGTCCTACTCTGAATTAATAATGGCTGCAATTTCTCAAGGTGCTTCTGCATCAGTGTGGCTCTGTTCCAAGATGTCATTTGGCCATAGACTATGAACTGCCATCAGAATGAATGACTCCATATCCCATTACCCCCGCTGCTGGGTTTGCATTTTGTCCTCCCTCGTGGAGCTAAACTAAAGTTGTTTTTAGATGAAAGGATGGAGGGAGGGAGAAAGAGAGGAAAAAAAACCTGCCAAGAGTGTGTTTGCAGCAGAGAGAAACAGTGTGACATTTTTTTTTTCTTTTTTTTTTACCCCTTCAGCACCCTGCTGGTTCTGGTCTGTGTTCCTCCCTAAATGAGAACGAACGCTCGTGAAAAACTAGTTATTGCCAGTCGCGTAGCTTGCAGCAGAAATAATGCACTGTAATGACATGTTAAGATCCAGAGTGAGTGAGTCGGGTCCAGCAGGACAGCAGAGGGGCCTCGGTCCAGCTAAGTGATGGTCTCAGCCCAGCTCCATCTGCCCATTGTGTTTGCCCTTGGCAACCCAACATAGTGGCTGGTGATGGTGAGTTAATGAGGACTGTGTAAAGGTTAAGTAAACAGGAGTGGCCGGTCTAAGAGGAAAATTACTACTGCCATCATCATAGAGGGCAGCTCGGTGGAGCTGGGGCAGCTCTCATCATTATGTCGGTTATCAGCGCCGCTTTTAATGAGGCGTGGGTACTATTGAACTGTACAACGCAAGCAGCATGCCACCAGAACACACTGGAACCTACGGCTGCTGAGATGTTTGAAACCGTATGACACTCGAGTTTGAGGCATTTGGGTAAAATGGTGAACACGACCCCCGCCTACCCACCAATCCCACCAGCTTTTGTGTGTTTTGAGTAGGTAAGAGCTGGTTGTCAGTAGCAATGTGTTGAAAACATTCCTATGCCTTACAGTTGTTTTTAAATGTGTAACTTTTATGAAGAATATGTTTTTTTTTTACATATTTGTTAAAACTGTCACTGTGCCAATCTGTGAAATGATCAATTGCCTACTTAAGAAATGTACAGCTCCCGACCAAAAACAACCAATCAGAGCCAAGAGGAGGGTCTTAGTGCTGTCAATCAATTCTGCTCAATGTGCTAATGGCAGAAAAGCGACTTACTGTTTACAGGATAACTGATTATCTGTTGTCATTGGTTGTCATGCTAACTAGCCTTAGCATTCACCTCCTGGCTCTGATTGGTTGTTTCCAGTTACTACTGGGAGAAGGTAGGAGAGCTCAATTTTTAGATTATCTCCCCCATACCATACTGTCAAGACATAGTGACAGTTCAGTCTGGAGAGACTCAAACGGAGAAAGAAGGCGATTAAAAGAGTTTAATGACAAAATGAACATGAAAATAAACAAAGTTCTTTGGTGTTCAGGCCCCGGCCGGGGACATCGAGCTGGACTTTGATGAGCTCGATGAACATTCCTGATGCAGCATAGGAATGTGGACCCCCCGGGGCCTGTACTGGTGGCGGCGGTCGGAGGAAGATGAGGCCTGAGAGCCGAAGGTGGAGATGGGGTGGAGGTGGGTTGATCGCAGCTGGTGAGCAGAGGAGGCTATGGGTGGAGGCCTTTTGGACCGAAGCCCAAACGATGATTGGCTGGAGCGAGGCTTGGTCCGCGCCGATAGGTCCAGGTTGCAGAGAGGCGGGCGCTGATTGATGAGGCAGGTGTGACTAGAGTCTTCCAGACTGAACTTTTGTCAAGACTCCATTTTCAACAGACACATAAAATAAAAAGTGTGACATACTACAGCTTTGAGGAGATGCCAGAGAAGAGTTCTGCAGCTGAATGCAGAATAGAGAATCATGTCCATGACCCTTCCCCACCTTTGGCTGCACATCACAGCTAAGCTGGCTGAAAAATGCAACTCCTTTGTTTTTTGTTTGTTTTTATTTTCTCCTTTGCGTACAGGACAGACAAATTTATCTGTTGGAAATACTTCTTGTTGCAAAAAGACTCGTCAGCCGTGCTTTTTAAAGGGATAAATTGGGTTTCACAACATAAGGTTCAGTGAATTTATCATCATTCATCGTCCCCCTTACCTGCTGTACCACCGTCTCAAGCTCACTGTCATATCAGTGAGTTTGCAGTAACATTGGTGCAGAATAATGACCCCTCCATACTCGGGTATTCAAAGCGTACCACCTGATCGGTTTTGGCTAATGACTAATGAAACTATTTTTCCATGGCATGCAATACTATTTTACAGGTTATTAACCATTTTTGCGAATGTTTGTATTTTGTCCTCTGAACAGCATCGCTGTTAATACACTACAATTATTCTGACAGAGTCTTGGCTGCATCAGTCCATCCCATCAGTTGACCATGAATCCATTATGGGTCATTTATAAATTACAACAAGATCTGGACAAGCAGAGGAACGTACCACCTTCAATGCCCTTGCAAAACAACAATGGCTCAAGGTTGCAAAAAATAAAAATAATAATAATAATAAAAATAAATAAATAAAAAATGCCCTCTATTAAGGTATTCTAATATTTGTAAAGCTACAGTTGCAGTCGGTTATGATGTGGGAGCTAAAAGACCTTTTATGACTATTAAGCTTACTTTGTTTTAAAACCACAGTTGGCACGTAAAGGGCAGCATGTCTGCCTAGAAACCAACCGCAGCCTCTAATTAACCAGCTAATATCAGCTTGTTATACTTGTGGTACTTTATAAAGAGCAGAAAGGAAATATGATTTAAAAAAAAAAAACCTGTATAAACCATAAACACTTGAATACTAATTAATTTAACATGTGTTTGTTCTCTGGTTTGCTTAAAGCTGGGAGATGTCACTTTTATAAGAGTGTTTTTTTTTTTTTTACATATTTGTTAAAACTGTCACCATGTCAGCAGCATAACGTGTGACAGATAATTTTAAATAAATAAATAAAGCTCCTGTAGCTCCCTCCTGTGCGACTACTGCAATCTGAAGACGCTCTCTGCCAAAAAGAGCCAATCAGAGCCAGGAGGAGGGTCTTAGAGCTGTCAGTCATGTTTGTGTACGTGATGCTAGGTGTGCTACAGGTAGAGAAACAACTTACTTTTATAGGAAAACAATTTATCTGCCATAATAAGTGGCCATGCTAACTAGGCTCTGGTGATGGGGAGAAGCTGTAGCATAGCAGAGAGCGTACAGAAGCATGATTGACAGCGCTAAGACCCTCCTATTGGCTCTGATTGGTTGCTTCTGATTGAGGTGTATTTCTGCAATTAGCACTGGGAGCCCTAAAGCAAAGCTTCAATTTTTTCTTTTTTTCTTTTTTCTTTTTCAGCTTATCTGTTACAACATGGCGACAGGTTTAGCAAATACGTAAAACTTTTTTTTTTTATAAGCTTTTATTTTAGTGGCATAAGTGTATTATTTAAGATACAGTAAACAAAACAAATTAGACTGGCTATGCATTTGTTTCAAACAGTCGTTGTACCGTGAGACTTTCATACCGATCGATGCCAAGTTTGGAGCTTCGCTCGCGTCCTGCAGTTTTTACAGGGAATGTGGCGACATGCTGCCGTTCCCCGTCGCACCGAGCTGCTTCTCGGAGCTTCTGCCTGCGACGAGCGGAGCTGGCCGACTCCCTATGCACCATGATGGATGATGGGATTGTTATTCAGCATTCCTGGGCTCCGCTCCACTGCCAAGCGCCTGTCTCCTCCGACGGCCATTGTTCTCCTGTCGGTTGGAAGAGTCACCTTTATCCGATTGAAATAAATGAGATATACTCAAACCGAGACATTAATTACAAAGTTTATCTCCTGGCTAAAGTACACTAATAAAGGTCTCTAATAAGGCATCCATCATGCCCAGGCTCCGTGGATGTGGCTGAGGGCACTGGCCAGAGGTCACCTAATGTGATGAATGACAGTCTGTGATGCAACCGAAGATATTACACATCCCTCCGTCGGTCACAGAGACGTGGAAATCGGAGTTAACTTTAGATTTCTCAGCAAAATCACAACTCAATCCTTCAAGTAAGCATTGGGTGTGTCCACACCCACCCACACACACACACACACACACACACACACACACACACACACACACACACAATGTGCTTACTTGTCAAACAGAAAGCCAGCATAACTGTAACTACTGTTTTTGTGGGCTTAGCCTGCAGACAATTATGACAAATGTGCAGTCAGCGCTGCAGGCTCTCACCGCTGACTGCTGCGGGGCCAGCTCCGAAAATTGGCCCTGCTGGCTCAAAAGATAAACTTAAAGAAACAACCAACAGGATGGCGAGAGCTGCTCAGAATTTATTTATCACTTTCCGCGGCCCTGACTCCGGTCCGGGCGGGCGGGGACGGTGGGAGATTCTCAACCGTAAAATTATATCACAAAAAAGTCGTGTTTTTTCTTTTTTTTTTTTTTTTTTCCACATGATCCATTACTGTCAATAATTGACTTTGAGCTATGTTTTTTCCCCTCGACGCCTTCGATCAAGCGTGATAGCACGACGACCTCTTGCTTGTTTATTTTTTATTTTATTTTTTCGCCTCTCCGAAGAGAAGTGGATCAGCGGGAAACCGCGGAATGCAGAGCATGATCTCTGCTCAAGGATGCATCAGAGGAAAACATTGACTCTTTTTTTTTTTTTTTCCTCACTAAGACGCAGGAAATGCATGTATTTTTGACAGTTATTCAGCAAAGCGCTCCTTTAAGCATTCACCAGAGGATGCATCTTCCCCTCTCTCTCCGTGCAGCGGTCATGACCATGATCCATAATCAGAATAAACTCCAGTCGTGTTTACCGTCTCTAAACATCGGTTTCATTTTAAATTAGATGTTATGGCTGAGACGTTCAAACACTTGGATTGCAGGTGAAGTTCAAGGTGATTATACATCATCTCTTCTCTGAGACTGGCGATGCAACAACAAAAAAAAAAAAAAATAGAATTAAAATGCGCAGGCCAAGCAGAGCGCTGACACCAAGCTAAAACTTCTGGGAGGCACCGTTCTTTTTTTTCCCCCGTTTTGTTTTCGTTGATTTGAGTAATTGCAAAGAAGTCGAAGTTGGGAGCTATGAAAAGAACTCGCCATTGTGCTCATCCAAGACTTGAAGAGTCTTTTTTGTTTCGCAGAAAAGTAAATCATCCGTGCAGTGCAATTTCGCTGACCATATTGTGGCTTTTGGCGGCAACTCAGAATGACTGTCTGACATCTCTACTTGTTTCTCTGCTAAGATTGCGCCAGCTGTCCCCCGTTAGCTTTATAATGTGCTCTTTGTTAGCGTTTTATCGAGTGTCTTGATAATGGCAAAACTCGAGGGCAGGCTCCATCTAGCACTTGGCTGCAATAACACAGAATGTGCACAGAGAAGAGCCGCCGTGTGCCTGTGTGAAAGAGGAAGCGGCGCAGAGACGAGACAATGTGAAATCTGCTGTTAATCGGTGCTGAATGCGACGCCGACGGAGTACAGCAAGTCGGACCACGTTATGGAGTAACGGCCTCAAAAGTCCTTTGAATTACACGCTAAAGGAAGAGCCGATAACCAGATTCCCTGAGTCCATCAAACATCATGTTAAGTTACTTTATATAAGATCAGGAAGCAGCTGGAGTCAAAAACTATTCATTTTGATTTTGTCACTGAGACAATCTAAAGAGTTACATCTCTTACTGTTGAGGCTCAGGATGCAGAAGGAACATTTCTGTTTTTACTGACAGAGGACTTAAAAAGTAAAAGTTAACTCACTGGATTAAAATGCTCACATTTGCCTTTGTGGTCTGACTGGTGATTGATCGTCAGTCGTAGCTGTTACTGGATCGGGGTCTGTCTTCATCCCAGGTTCAATTTGCGAATGTCTCTTGAATCCAAGATAATCGAAATGGCAAACTTATTTCCAACCAAGACAGTTATTTTTTTTTATTTTTTTATTTTTTTGACGCTCAAGGATAAAACCGTCCTCTTCATGTGTTTACTTCCACAGAACCCAGCCATGTTTGGTGCACAGATGGTCCTTGTAGCCAAAGTACTTAACCATCATTGTTCTGTTCTTGCCTCTATTCAACATATCCCATTTCAAAAGGTTTTTTTTTTTTTTTTTTTTTTTTTTTTTTTTAAAAAAAACATTTTGTCTGTTTCAAAACATGCTACATCATCATCATCATCATCATCATCATCATCATCCATTTCTAAAAGAGGATAATCAATCTGGAGATTGAGACACAAAAGAAAAAGCTTCATATGTGTCAGGAAAATGTTTTTATTTTACCTTTTGCTTAGAGGAACAGTGGAGACTCTAATTTTGGTTTTTTTGTGTCACACTTCTCAAATTTTAGTATTTTTCTGGTTATAAAAAAAGTTGACATTTTAGTTCAAAACCAAATATCAGTAAAAATAACAATAACTCCTACAGTAAAAGTAGTACCTGACATTATTTTAGCAGCAATAGGTGTCACTGTTAGACCTGTTGCAACAAGCAGTAAATCAACTGATCACACAGTAAAGTAGCTTTTCTTGAATTCATTTTATTAGTTATTTCTGTTGTTTATTTGACTTTATTTAAATGTTTTACAGCTCCAGGGTTAAAAGTTTATTAGAATTTAAACATTAGTGATATTTGAGGATGTATTCTTGCATTATGATGCCGTTACCATCGTATTACTTGAAAATTGTCTCTAAACAACAACATTATCATTTATCGCGATAACGTCTGGGACAATTTATCGTCTCTCAAAATTAGTTACTGTGGCAAGCCAAATCATAATCATTGTTAGTTTTATTGCTTAGATAAAAACAAATAGTTCATATTATATGTTTTACTTTAATTTTTTTTGTAAACACAGCAACAATAAGATTATCCAAGATCATCAAACTTTCAGGACCTCATCCCAGTGCTTGCTTGGTGTATACCTTTAAAACCGCACAAACAGGGCATATTATTTCCATGTTTGTCTTTTGTAAAGTTGCTAAATGGTTACATGTAATAAACCGGTGAAGTGTTTGGGGCTCGCACTGGGAAACACAAGGCAGTCCTTTCAAACACAGATTCAAAACATTTGCAATTAAAAATGCCTCTTAATCATTAAACAGGTGTCCTCATGCATGTCATGCATAATACAAACATAAAAGCCCATTCACGAGTGAAAACAAAATGACCAGCATACTTAAGTGTAACCCTTGCAATATGCAAAGCAGCTGCTCCCCCTCATATGCAAAACAGCCCTTTTACTTCTTGAGATCTATTATTCCCTTTCTTGCTTGCATATCCAATTACTAAATGAGCTCTGCCTCATTCCAGCAACTCAAAAAAAAAAAAAAAAAAAAAATTCTGTGGTAGCAATTAGTAACACCAGAGGGTAGCATGGCTTGTCTTGTTGTTGCACATATAATGTCTCCCTTTGGTGTCATTAACCATTGAATATGTGGCCTGTTGACTGCACTGATCATCCAGTTAATTGTAAACGTTTTCCTGTGCAAGAAAAGCGCAGTCTTCGTGCTGTGTTTGTTGCACTGGTGTGTACAGGTGACCGATGACTGTATACGGAAGACAAAACAAAACAAAAACAAAAATTCAAAATTAAAAAATTAGCGTACAATTCCCGGTTGCCTACAAAATGTGTTGTCTGGGAGTCAGACAACAGGAAACCTTCCCCGAATGGCGACGATCTCGCGACGCGTCCTGTCTTCGGAGGTCGTCTTTAAAAGGACGGTGCCGTATTGTCGAATAAAAAAAGAAATCTAAGTAACTTTCCACTCGTGCTCTCCTTCCTCTTGCTGTAACAGAAGTTCACCCCTGCAGGCTGACCAAAGCTCTGTGGTTTGCCCTGGGCAAGCTGCCTTGCTTCTGCCTCTGCAGCTCATCTGTCACTGGCCAGACTTAAAGCTGCTGGATCTTCGCCTGAAGACTTTTAAAACTTTCTGGCAAGAGGTCACACATTGAATTAGAAAGCCAGTAGGAGAGGAGGGGGCAGAGGGGGGAAGACGGGTAAATCTTGGGACAGTAGCAACAAGCAAGTATTAAACTGCATATCTATGGCTGCAGAGCCTTAAACGCCGCTTGCCCTCCGTCTGTCAGCTCATCATAAGAGACTCCAGCTTTTCAGAATGTCTGAGCATTCAGACGTCATGCGCAAGTTTTAACTGACCGATCCAACTTGGTTTTGCCTTGTGGTTTTACTGTGTCGTGTTATTTTTCTCTCATTTAAATATTTCTTCCACCATTTCCAAAGTATAGGACTTTTAAATAGAGTAGGTTTAGGAGTTTAGAAACCTGACTTTTTTTTTTTTTAACTTATTGCAGCTTATTTACATATGAATTTAAAAAGCAGACTCTCACGTAGATGAAAAAAAAAGATAATGAAAGCTAATCTAAGCAAAAGTAAAGGAACAGTCTTGGTTTTTGGGGTGAACCCCCCTCCGCACCCCAGAGCGCCCCGGCACCCAACGCACACCCCAAACCGAAACACAGTCCCTCAACAAATCTCTTCCTGCAAAAAACATTAAATCATTTAAAGTAATTTCTTTGGTAACTTAATTCATGTCTGACCAGACTAAATACTTTATTTGGTTTTGAGCAAGAACATTTTGTCTGAATAAATTAAAAATATTTGGGGGCAAAAATGCAGAGAAGCTACTAGCCTAGTTTGGTGGTGAATTGGAAACCGTACATTAGATAGAAATGCCTCTTAAAGCTGCAGTATGTAACTTTTGTAAAAAAAAAAAACAAACAACTTTTTTACACATTTGTTGAAACTGGCTAACAGAGCCTGTTGTTAATTCTCATGCTAGTTAGCATAGTCGCCACCATTGACGGCGGATAAATGATTTACCTATAACTGTAAGTTGTTTTACCTCCATGAGCAGTACACAAGTTGATTGACAGCACTAAGACCCTCCTCCTGGCTCTGATTGGTTGTTTTTGGGAACAGTACATTTCTTCAAACAGCAAAAGTCGCTCAGGGAGGAGGCAGGGGAGATCAATCTATTCACAGATGATCAGTTTCGTAACATACTGTCACGACATGCTGACATGTTTTAACAATTATCTTAAAAATATTTATTTTATAAAAACTCCACACCTCAGCTTTAAGTCAGGCATGTTTTCTTGCAACACTAGGGGGCATCAATTTCTCATTGCAACATATTCCCACCTTTAAGCTCCAGAAAACACATTCAGGGTACAACTGACAGATCATATGTGTAAATAACGCCCATCAAATTGTGCCACCCTGGGTGGTGAGCCATTTCGTTCACATTAAAACATCTACTGACAGTAAACGTATCGGCTGTGATTTAATACAGTTGCAGTTTTGTATGCTGAAGATTGGAGGTCTGGTAAACACCGCAGACTTATGATCCATGACACTTTCCAGTGCATTTTTATGACTTCCATTATTGTTGTTGTTGAAAAAAGCAAAAAGCAAACTTGCTCCTGGTAATTCTCATGGATGCCCTGTACCTAAACCCTTTACAGCTGTCAATCTTTGTTTCTAAAAATGTACAACCTAAGACATCATCGCCATCCTCCCTGCATTTCCTCCGTAACATTTTGCCACCTACCTAAACATTTTCAGGCCCAATTAAAATCTCCCACATTGCAACAGCTCCCCCAACCGATGCATAACAGCGGGACTTAATCCGTCCACCCCCAGCTCCTGCTTTTTTCTCAGTGGGACGCCATTAGGTCTCAGAAAATCTTCTTAAGATTTCCGCAAAAGAACGTGACAAAGAATCAAAGATGTCAGCCCCGGCCTTCAGATTTGGTATTCATCTGTTAACTATACCTGCTCATTGCATGTTGGGATCAAGGGGGCGGTTGGGGCGGCCTGTCCAATGTGTGTGTGTCTGTCTATCACAGGGCAACATAGGGACACATATCCAGCTGTCGCTCATGTTTGAGGGTTGTTGAGGATCTTAATGTTGATGTTTTTTGAATGGTGGGAGGAAGCTGAAGTACCAGGAGAGAACCAATCCATGTACAAGAAAGGCATGCAACCGATGCTGCCCCCTGCTGGGATTCGAACCCACGACCGTGCACACCACTGCGGCACTGGGGTTGAACTGTGATTGCCAATTTTAAGATAAATTGTATATTTTTAGTCATATTTCAAAGGTTTGTAGGTCTGTAAAATCTTGTTTGATAATTAATGGACCGCTTATTGTTTAATTTGTTGCTTTTTTAAATCACAATTTAATATTTCGAATTATTAAACCAGCTCTAATATGACACAAAGTTAGCTATAGTAAATATAACATGTATTTTTCAAATGATCTTTTTCATCAATTCTGTGAATTAGTGATGTCCAAGCCTTGTAGGACACAGTATTCGCCACACTTCTTTAATTATGAATTCACCGTGATTACCAAAATATTTTTGCAAAACTGACAGCCTTGTCACAATCCACACAAGGCCTGATTTCCCTGAATCATAAAATCTCTCCCCTTGGACATCCATCAGTTCGGCAAATGATTACAGAAGCATTTCAAAGTCCTTTGTGTGTAACTGATACACGATAAACAAATAGAGAAAACATGAAACGGCAGGAGACGTTAACAACTTATTCATTAAGGTCGCCAAATAACAGAAAACAACACCTGAAGCTCCGCAGACAAGCTCACTTGTCTAAATTAAAGTCGATGTTGGTGACTCAACAATAAGAAGGAAACAAAAAATATCTTCAGTGGAAGAGTTTTAAACTTAAAACCACTGCTGACCAACACAAAGGCCTGAGGGAGAATTGATTTACTGTAAGACTGAAAATATTCTTTTGACTGATGAATGTGGAACTTTTTAAAGATGTGTTTAATGTTACTGCTGGCATCAAACTACTGGTACACAAGAAAAAAAGACTTCATACTGACATGCTGATGGTGCTTTAATGGTCAGAGGGACGACTCACTTTAATTTCTGGTACTTCGAATTCTCCTCTCTATCAGAAAACTGAGCAGAGCAATAATCTTGACTCACACCAAAGTCTACACAGAGCATGGTAGAAGATTAACTGCCAGTTATAACTAGTTATCTGATGACAGTTAGGTTATGGGGCTTTTATTTTTATTTTTATGATGAAATTTATTTGATGAATTCAAATATTTAAGACAAAAACACAAGAAGTCTGTAAGAAGACAAGTACTTTTTCACAGTCAAATCCACTCTGATAAATAGAAAGGTTAAAGGTGCATAAATAACATGCATGTGAAGGAAATCCTGCCAAAACCATCAAAAGCAAAAGTCGTCCATTCCAAAATGTAAATTGCCTTCCACCAGCAGCCCGACAGAAGTTAATAAATGGTCTGCAAAGCTGGTAATTTGCCCGGCGATGCTGCAAAAAAAACCCAAAAAAAGTACTCAGAAAAGCTACAAGTGGGTGAAATGTGGGAAAGCACGCACTCCCCCCCCCCCAACTTCCCCTCCACACTTGAGCTGCTGAAGTGTTTGTCATTCAGCTTAATGGGGAGGATTCAATAGGGAACGCCT